AATCATGACAGGAACCCTGCTTGACTCAAAGCCAACCATTTCTTCATTCCTGGTCTTCATTCCCCTTCTCTATGATGTGTCAAGATTTTAGGACTTAAAATGTGATGAAGGGGGCTGGAGAGATGCCCTTGGCTAAGAACATATTCTAACCTTCTTTTTGGTTACCAGAGCCCACATGAGTGATGGCTCACAACCTCCTGTAACAGCCAGCAGCTCTGGGGGATCTGAAGCTCACCTAGGGCCCCCAAAGGGACCACACACACAGCTTGCATACGTAAATAAAAACATCAAATATCTTTTTAAAATGCATTCTTTCAGCCCTTCTTGGGCTCTCTGGTCAATCCGTCTATGTGTCTTTCCCTGAGTAAGCGCTCTGGAGCCGTGGGCTCTCTCAAGGCTCATGAAACATCATTACAAGAACCAGCCAGTGGTAACCCAACCCTCAGGGAAGTGTGGAATGCCCTCAGGCAAACAATGCCCTTCTTGCTCTTCCCTCCATACTGGACTGAATGAGTTCCTGTGGGTTTCTCCACGTCACTCTTTCTCTGCAGATCCCAGTCTCCTGAAAAGCAAGGGACCCACACCTGTGACAGGAGACACAGGTGACATTGTTTCTAATCCCCTGTGTAGCTCAGTTGTCATCTTGCGAGCGAGTCCCGTCATCCAGTGTTTGTTTAAATTGCTTGCTAGTGTGTTGAGCTAAGGTAAGTCTAGCTCTCCCCTGCCTTCTCCCGAAGGTTGTGATAAACTGAGGTAACTCGAGCTCTCAGGAGACATGTGACCTACAGGAAGGTCGTGATAAATGTCAGGTGTGATCATCAGTTTCATTTTGCAGTTTGATATGAAAACATCAGCTTTTTATCTACTTATAAAAAGGTTAAGGAAGTCCCCATTGCTGATCTGAGTAGGTAAACAAGCAGACTATCTTTGATGGAGATGCAAACTGTCCTCAAGTGCTTCCCACTTTCCCAGGAACTGATGAGACAAAAACATGGCAGAGGACTGGGGTTCAGTGTGTGTGTGTGTGTGTGTGTGTGTGTGTGTGTGTGTGTGTGTGTGTGTGTGTGTTCATGTGTTTGGGGATAGCAGGATAGTGGAATCCCTGCTGGAGGGAACAGGAATGGAGACCTGAGGCCTTATAAACAAGAAAGCAGTGCTGTCCAGAGGCATCAGGCAGCCCAGCTAACATAGGTAACCATGGATTGGGATGGGCTGGGGGAAAAGGAGACATCTTGGAAATTATCTGGGGCATTCAAAAAAAGAAAACTAACCCCTGCAAAAATCTATAAATGTTAAGAGGTACTCCAGGGAGCAAAGACAGATTACAGAGGCGGTAAAAGCCAGAGGGGGATGTTCAACCTCTGCTCTCCAGATGGATGGCCAGAGTGGAGAGCCTGGGATAATGGGAGGCTGGCCAGTGGGCTAAACGCCTAAGGACCAGATGGGCAAAGGGAATCTCATGGAGATGGTTATAGTCCCAGATTTGGTCCCATCATCAGGAGAGTCAGCATGGAGCTGTGGGATCCTCTGGTGTTTCCAAGATCAGGTGCTGAGATCCTCCTGCCCTAACCCCGATGTCACCAGTGTGAGATGGCAGAGGAGAATGCCAGCTCTGACTCGTCATCAGCATGTTTGGTTGGCGGTTCAAGGAACTGTGACATCAGTAATCTTATTAAGAGCAGAAGCAAAATCAAGGAAAAGCCTATAGCCTGGCTCCGCTGCCCCTGAGCCTTGATCAGAAGAGACACATAAGTTGAGGACGGGGCATCACGGTATCAGGTGGTCCTCCATGGCAATGACAGGGACTCGGAAACACAGCCGTTAGAGTTAATACTGATGCTCAGCTTGATGGAATAGGGTACCCCCTAGGAAATGTGCCTCCGGGCCTATCTGTGAGCCGTTTCCAGAGACGTTTAACTGAGGAAGGAAGACCCACCTTAAGTGTAGGTGGCACCGTCTGGCTGGCTGGGGTCCTGGACTGAGTGACAGGCATTCATCTTCCCGCTTTCTGGCTGGACACCATGTGACTATGACTTTGCCTCCATGATGGACTGCATCCCACTAAATCATGAGCTGACAAAACCCTTCCTTCCTCAAGGTGATTGGTCAGGTATTTTGTTCCAGTAACAAGAAATTTAACTAACACAGGAGGCAAAGACTAGCTTCTCTTTTTGGTGTTGGGAAACATGCCATTTCCTTCCGTTAGAAGTTGCCAGGGAGGAACCCCAGGAGCGCTGTTGTAGATGCTATGTGCTGAGGAAACAGAGACTCCTCCCTGAGGGGGCAGAAGCCGAGGAGACTCTGCAGTGTGCAGCACACACAGATATTTTTAAACTGTGGAGGGCGTCGCTCCTGCAGATGTCAGGACAACTGGGATGGCTCTGGTTCTGTCACACAGGCTGGGGAAGTTCAGGTGTTTATCTGTAAAAAGCTGTCTTGTCACAACAGACCCTTGCCTCTGCCAGGTGTGTGGGGCAGTCCACCTGGGTGTGGGAGTCTGGGTGTGATATTTCAATCATGCTCAGGTTCTGACTGCTGCCTGTCTGCCTACCACCTCTCTTTCGAATCAGCCAGTTTGTGTCTCCAGCCGCACCTTGCAGGAGTTTCAAGGGCTACAGGAAGAAGACAGAGGAGGTCCACCCAAGCCCACCCTGAGACCTGATGGAAAGCACATGGAGATGGCTTGCACTTGTGGAAAACTCCATATCCCAGACTCCAGGGACACTTCCTCTCTATGTAAGAAAAGGGAACCTGACATCTTGACATTTTCAATTACTTAACTAAAAATGGCATCCTTTGAAAACAGTGTGTCTCTTGAAATTTCAATATTTACAATGGGGAAATGAAAAACATTCCCTCTGAGGGAAATCCAAGGATGTGTCAATACCAGGACTATGAAGAAGTGGGTTTAACTCTTTGCGGAAAATCTGACAATCAGCTGTGGTTATACTATTTCAGTCATCCCATGTCTATCAAAGATGGCTGACCAAAAGGTATCCCTGTGCTGGAAGGCAGACCTTGACTTTAAGTAGCTTCTTGAGGAGAACAAGGTGTGTTTGATTGTGGTCGCAAGCTACAAGGAGAAGGGGCCAGATGAGGCTGGCTAGCCACAGGATTTCCTGGAGTCCCCCAGAGGGGAGAGGGCATGACACAGGATGAGTTGATCAGTATTGTCTGGTTTACAGATATCTCTTGGCCATGGAAGGCATTGCTGCGAGTACAAGAAGGCCCATGTGGCAGTTTGAATGTAATTAGCATCCATAATCTCACAGGGAGTGCTACTATAAGAAGGTGTGCCTTCGTTGGAGTGGGTATGGTCTTGTTGAAGGAAGTGTGTCATTGTGAGGGCGGGCTTTGAGGTTTCCTATGCTCAGGATACCCTGGGCCCGCAGTGTCTCAGTAGATTTCCTGTTGTCTGCAAGATGTAGGGCTCTCAGCTATTCCACAGGTACAATGTCTGCCTGCACAGGACCATGCTCCCCGCCGTGATGATATGGACTTAACCTCTGGACACTAATTGAATCACCCTAATTAAATGTTTCCTTGTAAGAGTTACCATGGTCATGATGTCTCTCCATAGCAATAGAAACCCTAAGGCAGTCCTGAAAGCCTGGAGTGAGGTCAGCATGAACCTTTAACGGTACTTTTGAGCCTAGAGTCAATGCCTCAGAGTCTGTCAGAACTGAGGCCAGATCAATGGCTCCAAAAAGAAGCTATAGTCTGAGAAGCTGTGCTGCTGTTCCATGCTGTCTGTACCTGGAGGAAAGCTGTGTGGGGTGGGTGGCAGGGGTGTACTGGCAGACTTCTCACGAGACCCTGGACAGATTCCTTAACGCTTCTGCGCTCTGAGTGTGGCGTTGTGCTGTATCTACCACGAGAGGACATAGAGATGGCATAGTAGGAAATTCGGGTGACGCATTAGGTGCTGTGCCTGGAAGCTGTAGGATCCCACAGGAAGTCAACAGACAATTCTCTCGTCCCCCAGAAGCTGTACCTCTCTGCCCCTTATATGTCTAGAATAACACTGTCCAACATGCTGGTTTGAACTAGCCCAAAGTGTGACTCAAGCCCTTCGAAGGTGCCCAGTTCAAGATGAGACAGAAAGTGTAAACGAAATAGGCACTGTGTGTATGTGTGTGTGTATGTGTGTATGTGTGTGTGTATATGTGTGTGCACGTGTGTATGTGTATGAGTGTGTATGTGTGTGCTTGGGTGTGTGCATGTGTGAGTGTGTGTGAGTGTGTGTGTGTGTGTGTGTGTGGTCTCTTTCCTAATTTCGTAGTGACTGCTTGTTGTCAGAGCATCTTACTAATATTAATTTTACCTGTTCATACTTACTTTACTATGACTGCAAGAAAACCCTAAATTATAGTGGGGCTCCTATTTCACATCTGTAAGGAAGCCCCACTCTAGACAGGCTCAGAGGCTGTGTGCTAGGCACTCACTGACCTTTTTAACTTTTTACCTGTTTATCAGCACGATATTTTTAAAAATGTGTGTGTGTGTGTCTGTGTGTGTGTGTGTGTGTGTGTGTGTGTGTGTGTGTGTGTGTGCCGTGAGTGTGCAGGTCCCCACAGAGTCCAGAAAAAGTGTTGTAGTCTCCTGGAGCTGGAGTTATAGGCGGTTGTGAGCTGCCTGATATGGGTGCTGGGAACCAAACCTGGGTCCTCTGTAAGAACAGTGAATCCTCTGAATTGCTAAAGTCAGCTTTTGACTGTGTTATTAGGTGCTCAGCCAAAATGATGGGCCCTGTAACTCACCCGCCATAAAGAAGACTGGACTGGGCTAGGGGGGTAGAGTTGGTTCCTCAGAGCTGGAAGTGACCCGAGGGACACCAGAGGAGGCTGAGCTCAGACCTCTCCCTTCTTGGAGAAGTCCTCTACCTTTGTCCCAGGAGGACAGGCCCTCTCTGCATGTCAGAAGACGCCCACACCTTGTACGTGAACTTGGCGGGAAGCAAACTGGCCAGGCACTCACAAACACAGGTGCAAGGGAAAATGTTACTTCAACATCATCTTTAGAAAACCCAGAGTTTCCAGAGAAATGCGCAGCAGACATCCACAGACACGGGAAGATTCCTTTTCCTCCCCTCCCAGGCAATGTGGTGTGGTTGGTTTTGAAAGGTGTGTATTTTACCCGACTTTTTTTTAAGAGGAGAAGATGGATGCTTACATTCTGACCCTAGGGGCATTGCTTCCCCCATCCAAGTCAGAAACAAGAGGACACAGGAACAGCCACATATTGCTCCACCATGGCTGATCCGCTGAGCAGAAGAGACAGCGGGTCGCTTCCTCCCCTTCCTATCCAAGGGCGAGGAGGGAGGTGGTCTTTGGGACCGCTTCCTCTATGGATCGATCTGACAGGATGGGTGGGAAATTGGAACAGGAAAGCAGGAGGCAAGGAAGGAAGAGAGCCTTCCTTTCGGGGAGTGTGTTTTGTTTTGAAGCAGGGTCTTGTATAGCACAGGCTGGCCTCAGACTCATGGTGTAGCAAAGGGTTCTCCTGCATCCACCTCCCAAGTGCTGGGGTTCCAGACACGTATCAGCACAGCCGGTTCGTGCAGCGCTGAGGATCAAACCCAGCCTTGTTCAAGCTAGGCAGACACTCTGCCAACTGAGCTGTACCACTGGCCCTAGAAATGCCCTTCCAGTGGGACACATGACAGAGAAGAGAATTTCCCTGGTGCCTGGGCTCATGTGGAAAACAGATTTTGGTTTCTGGGGACGCTAGTCTGGTGTTCAGTTGGCTTTATCAGAACTGGAAAATGGTTTGGGGGAAAGACAGAGAACGGGCAGAAAACAGAACAGCAACAGGAGGGCAGAGTGGGGAGGGGCGGGGAGAAGGGTGCAGGTGTGGGCTTGAGGCTCCCTGGCTGCAGCCACGGGGTCTTCTGCAGACACAGTGCTGTCTTTGCATGTGCTCTTGGGTGGTGTTGAGGCCCAGCAGCTCAGCACCGGCCCTGAGTCCGTGAGAGTGTTGAAGCGTGCTCTCACCTGCATGTCTTGCAGGCTGTGGGATTGACACGTGGAAGAAGAAGGACATGCCGGCGAGACTAAAGGACTGGGTTAGGAAGACAGAAAAGAGGGAGAGGTAGTGCGCTTGTGCTGGCTCTGAGGAGAGAGCTGGAAGGCCAGAGGAAGAGCCCAGCCATGACAGGGGCAAGGCTGGCCAAAGCAGCTTTTTCCTCCCGATCTGTGGGAGCAGGGGTGGGGTTCGTGCTCCTATCCCATTACCTCCATGGACGGATACTCCACAGGGACCCACAAGAAGGTTCCCCTCATCTCCCATGAGCACCCTGAACCATCACCTTAAGGAACGTGCAAGGTATAAACTTGCAACAGAACAACCCTAGTTGAGGGGAAGATGGGATCATGGAGTCTAAAAACCTCCCCAGGAGGTAGGCAGCCTTGGCCTCTGATCTGGCTTGGTCACATTAGGCAGCTTCGTGCTCTGGGGAGAGGGAGGACAGTTTCAGGACGGGTAGGTCACAGACCCCTCCCAAGCACTCTGGGAAATGTTTTAAAGAAGATTCAGCTTCAGCTTCAAACTTCTATCACATTCCCACATGCCATGGGAGGGTAGGGACTGCTCCAGTGTTCCACTCATGTAATCACCTAGAGCTGGGAAGACCTGGTTCACCTTGGAAGCCTTCTAGAACCTTCCAAGGACTTTGCCAGGTGGGACACCGAGGTTCAAAGAGACAAAGGACCTTTCCCCTGTCATTCAGTGGCCTGTTCTCAGGACTCCAGAAGCCAGCCTGAGGGTCTAGAGCGCCCCCAATGCCTCCTCTACTTTATACGAGACCTTTTGGTCATGACAATTTCCAGAAAAGGCCACACCCTCCAAATAAAACCCGCTCTGCCCCACAGGACGAGCCAAGCCCTTTCTCAGGCCCTCCTGCTACTTGTGGTTAACACTCTGACTTCGTCTGTTTTGCTGGGTGTGGGTGTCACCTCTGGGAAACAACGGAAACTGGGTCATTCACAAATTCCAGGGCAGGCTGTAGGGCTGGCCAGGGTTAAGGGGGTCTCTGGGCAAGGGGCTCCACAGAACACCCAGAGTCCTCTTGACTCCCACCTCACCCTCACCTCGCCATCCCCCAACCTGCTGGGGACACACTTTCACAGGTAGAGGACACTCGGTTATCCGGAAGAATGAAGAGGAGTCTGGGAAATGGAAAAATAAATTAAGAAATCAAAACTACACTGGATCCATAAGCAATCCCAAGCCGTTTGCTTGTAGCTACATTTGTGAATAGAAAGGCGGTTGGCTGCCTCTCCAGACACTCAGGGCTCAGTCTGACACTTGAGCGAGTCCCATTCCCTGAGCACACCCCGCTGGGTGGTGGGGACAGGCCTGGGAAGGTGACACGGGGGAAGGGGTGTAGCTGGGCAGAAGGACATGAGGCTGTTGACAGGGAGACAAGACTGTCCCTGGATGTAAACATCACCATGGAAACTCCACAAATACTCGCCAGTGCTGACTCTGTCCCCTTCTTCTCCCACTGAGAGAGGGAGGAAGGGTGCTCCTACCCTGGCTTACACAGTACTTTCCATGACCCACTCTGAGCTGCCAAACGTCCCCCGGGCTCCCACCAGGTCACTCTCCTCAAAGGGCAAGAGCATGCCATTGACAGACAAGCTCCGCTTAGTCCAGATATTTGAGACCCGCCTAGGGGGGCTGTAACCACCAGGAGCAGTGGCGGCTGCAGCTGCGAAGTCTCCCATGTCAAAAGAGTGGCTCCTTTTAGCCTTGCCCTCCAGGGGCAAAGGGAGAAGGCTCCTGGCGCGCGTGGCTGGGGGCCCCAGCAGTGGCTCTCGGTCTGAGTGGTGGCCCCTGGCTGCTGTCCCTGCCCCTCTGCCCGCTGGAGTCCTGGAGTCTAGAAGTTCTTCTTTCCTTTGACTCTTGAGGTCCAGGGAGGCAAAGGCTCCCATCAAGCGGTCAAGGCTGGGCTTGGGGCGAGGAGCAGGGGGTGGGAGCCTCCAGGGACCCCGGCTCAGGCCTGCGGCTTCCCCGCTGCCCAGGGAGCTGGAGGAAGAGGAGTCACAGGCCCTGGCCAGGCTGGTACTGAAGTCCATCAACTCATTCCGCACCACGACCTTGGGTGGTGCCTGAGGAAGCTGCCCGACAGGGATCCCGCCCAAAGGTGGAGGCTGGGCCCCATTGGTCTGCGAATACACATTGCTGACGGTGGCCGCGGCCATCTTGCCTGGGGCGTCGTGGTTGCAAACCTTGTACCGCACCATGAGGATAACGATGAAGACCAGCAGTGTGGCCACAATGATACCCCCGATGATAAGAATCATGGTGCCCCCCAGGATCTGGCTGTGCATAGATTGGCATTGTGGGTAGTCAGCCTTGGTGAAGAACTGGGCGCAGCCCACAATGTTGGTGGCCGTGAGCGTCGTAGCTGTGTCGTCCCACATGGCCAGCACGCACAAGTCGTAGCCCGTCCCGGATACCAGGTTGTTGACTACGAAGGCCTTGTTGGAGGCTGGGATCATCCTGGGGAGGGAGGCAGACACAGAGAGTAAGAGAGGGTGGGGTGTCGGGGAGCGGCCACAGGAAGGCAGAGAGTAACAGAGACGCATGCCGGCCACTGAGACAACGGCAGAGACTGGAAACGACGGACGGTGGAAAATAGCTAAGAGAAGGGGAGAGAGGGAGGGATCAAGAGTTAGGAGTGCGGTGTAGAAAATGGTGAGACAATGATGGACATGTGATCTGGAAGATCCAGGGGACAGGTCGAGTGAAAGAAAAGATGAGAGAAATATTCTGGGACGGAGTGTCAGAGAAAAGGAAGGAGACAGAGAACATTCTCTCCAGGTCAGGTTAGGCAAACACCCAAAGTAAGGTAATGAATGAATTCAAAGTAAAATGACAGTTGAAGGTGTGGATGAGGGGAAGCATCTAGACATGGCGCAGAGGTGGCAGAGGCAGGGGGTTGGCAACAGAGGGGAGCAAGGGCACCTGGGAGGACAAGGAAGACTCAGGAATTAGTGGGATGGCTGCCCCTCCCCCACGTCTGTTGCTGACATCTCTCCACCCGTCCCCTAACGCTAGAGGGCATCTGAGACCCTGGGGAGCTCTCTGGGTCTTTGCTTTGGGAATGAGAGCCAGGTCTGGCCCTGAGCCTGCACCCAGCACCTCTCTCCTGCAAGGTCTTCCTGGTGGGGAGGGAGCAGTCCCTGTTTCAGGTTGCTGGGTGTGAGCAGGAGAAAGCAGGTAGTGGAGAGTGAACAGAGCAGGAGGTAGTGAGCCACCCAAGCCTGGGAAGACACCCTAACCCCCACACTGTCCCTGCACCCCACTCACGCCACATCCAGTCAGCAAACTGGCTCATCCAGGAGACCTGTAGCAGCATTCCTGGTTAGGAAGGCCTTGGCTGGTCCCTCCACCTTTAAGGAAGGATCGACATGTAGCAGTGTCCCCCACATGGGCCTTTGTCTGTGGCAGCCTGAGCTCTCTGGGGCAAGCCTTCTGGAATCTTGGAAACAAGCTGATCGCTAAAACCTTTGCCATGCATCCAGTTTCTGTTCTTCCCAGAGATGGTTCTGGGCCACTCCCACAGGCAATCCTGCAGAGAGGTCAGTCTCAGCATAAAGGACATCGCCTTGCTGCTTTCCTGTCCTCTGTTTCCCCCTCTAAAGTTTTCCACCCTCCTGCCCCTTGAGAACAAAATGGTTCCAGCAGCTCCCATCAGCTCCTCTCAAACGCAGAGCCAAGCACCATAATTAAGACACCAAATATGAAATACCGGTGCCTGAAGAACTCCACCTGAGTAGCCGCTGGGAGGCCTGAGCTGACAGCTGCTGATAACCCATCAACCCCTGGGGACTGCTGTCTCCACTCAAGCTGCTTGGGAGCCTCCTTAGAGGAGACCCTCCAAGCGCCACTCCTACCCCTACCCCACAGGGCACCAGGGGGTGGCCAACTAGGTCCTGCTGATCAGCACCCAGGGGCTGTATGGGACTTTGCAGCCTTTTCTTTATCCAGACACCATGACCATTCAGAGTGACAACTGTGCTCTTATTTCAGAGTAGGGAGAAATGGCTGAGGCTCAGAGAAGAGAGATGGCTTGCCCGAGGTTCCACAGCTAGGACTAGCTTATCACTCACTGACATATAGAGGACTATGTTTTCTCCTTTTATTGAAAAAGTCTTTATTGGGAGGTGTCAAGATTGTTCTATGGGTAGAAGAGTTTGCCTCACAACCCTGGACCCTCACAAGGGTGGATACAGAGAATCAGCGCTACAAAATTGTCTTCCATACTTGTGCTGTTGCACACACACACACTCTGATAGCACGTAATTTTGAAGAAATTCTGCTTTGTATTACATTTTGTATATTTGTTTTGCATGGAGGGGGTGATGCTTGTGTGGCATGCTGAGGCCAGAGTCTGTCCTCTCTGTCTACCACGGGGGACCTGGAAAGTGAACTCAGGTTGTCTGGCTTTGTGATAAGTGTCTGTAACTTCCAAGCCATCTTGTCAGGCTATACATAAAGTCTTTTGTTGTTTTGTTTTAAGTCCTCATTGCCTTGGAGCTGATTACACACCCATTTCTCCTGAGCACTGCTCAGCGTCCTCTGTGGCTCACGACCACCTCCAAGATTCCAAGCCTGGGCAGGATCCAGGCATGGGTCCTGGTGTGGCCAGGACTGCAGGACTGCAGGAGACACTGAGGCAGTGGGGCCTGATGCCAGTAAGAACAGAGCCCACTGGTCACTGGAGACGAGGCAGTCTGGCATGGCCCTGGGTTGTCCTCTAAGCTCTGCAGGGTTGGCTCACACGATCTTCACTTTGCAGATGGGGTGGCAGAGCCAGACCCAGGTCAGGTAGTGCAGCTGTGGGCCTCACTGAGTCAAGCCCTGCACTGCCACACTGGCTTGCGGGTGCTGCAAGAACACACCCCTGAGAGGAGGGGCTCGTGTCCCTGTGCCCGGGACACCTGCTAGGAAACACAGCCTTCCACACTTTATGTGTCTAACCCTAACGGCCCTAGGACATGGGATCACGAGCCTAGAGTCAGCTTGGTTAGCTGTATTTTTGAGGGAAACCGAAGCGCTCTGCTGTTGGTATGAACACACACTGGCAGAGGGGAAAAGGGTTTGACTCAGTGGTAGAGAGCTTGCTGCTCCTGTAGAGGATCTGAGTTCAGTTCCCAGCATCCATGCCAGGTAGCTCATAACTGCCTGCGATTCAGCTCCAGGGGATCTGACACCCTCTTCTGTGCTACTAAGGTGTGTACACACACACACACACACACACACACACACACACACACACGAGGAGAGAGAGAGAGAGAGAGAGAGAGAGAGAGAGAGAGAGAGAGAGAGAGAGAGAGAGAGAGAGAGAAAGAGAGCACTAAGTCAGAGAGCCTGGCTGACAGAATCAAGGTTGCCTTTACTAGTAGCAGCTGCCAGTTTTCGTTGGGCCCTTCTGTGTGCTTGGAAGTTTCTGCATATGGTTTCACTCAACCTCCTGGCACCTTGAAGGAAGTCATGACTGTTACTCCCAAAGGGACGCTGCTCTTCCCTTTGGAGAAATGACAGAGCTAGGACCAAGTTGGGACCAAATTGGGTCCATGCAGATGCTATTACTTTGTGTGTGTGTGTGTGTGTGTGTGTGTGTGTGTGTGTGTGTGTGTGTGCATGTGTGTGTCTATATATGTGTGTGCATGTGTGTATGCATGTGCATGTGCATCTGTGTGTATGTGTGTACATGTGTGTGTCTGTGTGCATGTGTGTGTGTGCATGTGTGTATGTGTATGCTTGTGTGTGTATGTGTGTGCATGTGTGTGTGGGCATATCTCTGTGTATGCACAGATGCATATACATGTGTGTATGTGGAGGTGAGATGTAAGCCATGGGTATTGTTCCTAAGGTGGCTTGCCCACCTTGATTTTTTGAGGGAGGACTCTCATTAGCGGAAGTGCACTGGTTAAGTCAGGTTGGCTGGTCAGTAAGCCCCAGGAATTCTGTTGTCACTGTTCTCTCACTGCCTTTTCATGTCGTTTCTGTGGGGACACTTCAACAAATGAAGAATCCCCCAGTCCCAGGAATGCTATTCTTCTTAATCCAAAGCAAGACCTACCTGTCTCCAGGCATCCAGCTGAAACTGCACAAGGGAACGCTGTGAAGTGGCTGCTAGTCAAAATCTAGTGCTTGAAATGGAGCTCTTGTCCTACCCATGCGTCCTTAAGTACCCCATCATGCCCTGCTACAAAGGCTACATAGTCATTCTCGAAGCAAGCCCAGAATTCTGGGCTCCCCCTGCATCCCTGCCCATACCCCATCACTTGGATAGAATTCTGGGCTCCCCCTGCATCCCTGCCCATACCCTATCACTTGGGCAGCCCTTCCAGCTAAACAACCCTTCCCAGCTCCATACTTGATCATTTTCACTTTGGGCCCAGGATATAAAATAACCTAGCTCCTGAGACACTTGCCAAGGGTCAAGAGCTACCTGTGACTCACAAGTGGCCATCAAAGCTCCTTATCAGAGATCACAACCTAGACTCTTCTTACATTCTTATCTCCTCGCCCCCAACACCCTCTAGCTTTTCTTGCTCATTTAAGAGCATCCCACATCATTCAGGGCCTGAGATAATGAAGCCAGGGAAGACTGCTCAGCAGTTAAGAGTGCACATGGGGTGGCTCACAGCCACCTGTAACTCCAACTCCAGGGGATCCAGCACCCTCTTCTGAACTTCACAGGCAACTACACTCAAGTGCACATAGTAACACACACATAATTTTAAAAAGTCATCAGTGATTCTTTAAACTGCATATCATGACCACCTTACGGGATCATTTAACATGGAACTGACCATGCCTGTAATTGACATTTGGGCATTACCTGAGTGTTTCTGAACACACAACAGCCCCAATTAATACAAAGTTAAATTCACATGCATCCAATGTGTTTCTGGCAGCATTAACCCATGATGTATCCCATGACATTGAAGCCTTGATTCTGAACACACAATGTGTGCCCATTGTACTGTGTGTGTTGTTACACCAAGCACAGGCAACAAACTCTTCCTGAAACACCCCAGACAAGGCTATTGTATATTTTAGTGTTTTTTTACTACACATACAGAGATTTCTGCTCTATTGAAACACACTGGTTTATTTATAGAAAGCAAAGTCTTACTATTTTCTTTCCATCCTTGCCCAGCATATGAGTATCAAATTATGTATCTTTGGATTGTATTGTATTTGATTTTAAAAGCTGTGTTTTAGTTACTGGCTTGAGTTTCATGAAAACTCAAATTAAATGATTTATTTTTGGCTAGAGATTAGGGCAGAATTTCTGTCAATTTCTTTTGAAATGACCATAAATATCCTTCTGCCATTTTATACTTTGTGTTTATGCAAAGTGGCATTCTCAGTATTGTAGATTACAAAATCAAAATATCAATCAACTCTTAAAAAATGTTGAAGATGCTCCACATCCTCCAGTATCAAATATCCAGCCAAGATTTAATTCTTCACTTAAAAAT